CCCTACCCAAAGGCTCCATTGTAGTTCCTTTGTGGGGTGACCAAAGAATCCTAGATCTAAACCACCATAGGGAACTACAGTGGAGCCTATGGATATATAGACCCTAAACCCAAAACCCTAAACCCCTAAACCCTAAACCCTAAACCCTAGACCAGCCCTAAACCCTAAACTAAGCAGTCAAGAAGCACCATGTAGCAACATCCAGGCCGCCAAAGCCCATCCGAGATGCCCGAACTGCCGAACCCCAATATAGCGGCCTTAATAGTTAGAGCAGGGTTTTAGGGTTCCCTTTAAGGGTTCCTCAACGGGCTCTATAAGGGCTACTGTAAGAGTTTAGGGTTTAGGGGCCTTAATAATTAGAATAGGGTTTTGGGGTATATGATATAATAAATATAATAAGGAACCCCCAAAATAGTATAGGTAATTATTAATTTAGGCCCCTACATTTCTCCAGTGGCATCCAATCCTTCTGGAGGTTCTAAAACGGGAGTCTACGGGAGTCATAGAAAGTGACCCTAAACCCTAAACCCTAAACCCTTAAACCCTAAACCCTAAACCCTGAAAAGCAGGATTTCTAGCGCAAGGATCTCGAAAGACAGGGACCGTCAACTGCCAGAAACACCTAAGTCTCGCTACGACTCCTCCACTCAGGATAAGCCAGTTCAAGAACTTTTTGGGCGTGAAGGCTCCACCGGCTTTAGGGTTTTGGGGAACACGGGGAGGGGGGATGGGGGGGTTAGAATAGTTTGTGTTGATCTTCCCTTCCCTGCTAGTCCTTGTGTATCTATACTATAATCTACCCCAAAAACCCTACTCTCACGATCAAGGCCTTTTTTTGTTGGGGCCCGGAATTTCGGCTTAGGGCATCTAGGTTTTCGGTTTAAGGCTTGGGGGATTCTTGTGGCGCGGGTCTTGAACCCAGGGTGTCCTCTGTCTTTGGCGGCCGTCCGCGGAAGGATCAGTTTTAAAGGGGTGTTTCTTGGAAGTCGGGGTACCTTATATTACCACTTTTCGGTGTCCTTCTGATGCTTAGTTCTCCAAAACCCAACCTTTAAACGCTTTGGGTTCTTATACTGTAGTAGTAGCCTCAAAGTTTAACCTTTTATTTCCCTGGCGATTGGGGTTGATCGCGTCTATATTAGGGTCCAGCTTGCTGAAACCGCCATTTGATCGTACTGGTCATACTGGATTCTGTACTTGTAAGCCCTGCCTGAACCCCAAATAACTTTCTTTGCAGGGCTCCTTTCTATAATTTCCTTAGGGTCCTTAAAAGGGAAGGTAGGGTATTTTAGGGTGCTTAAAGGGGGACGGTAGGGTTTTTTGTGGTTCTTATCAGGGGGAAGGTATGGTAGTTTGGGGTGCTTAGGTAAACCTAAACCCTAAACCCTAAACTCTAAAACCCTAAACCCTAGACCCTAAACCCTAAACCCTAAACCCTAAACCCTTAACCCTAAACCCCAAACCCTAAACCCTAAACCCTAAACCCTAACCGTAAGCCTGATGAGTTCCCGGCAGGTGGAAGAGTCGGCTCCTCGGGGGCACAAAGAAGACCGCTTAGGGTTTAGGGTCTTTAGGGTTTTTAGGGTTTAGGGTTTAGGGTTTTTAGGGTTTAGGGTTTAGGGTTTTTAGGGTGTAGGGTTTAGGGTCTAGGGTTTGGGGTTAGTTTAGGGTCTGGGGTCTAGGGTTTATTCAGGGTCTAGGGTTTAGGGTTGAGGATCTAGCGTTTAGGGCGCCAGAAGCTCGGGTTTAGGTTTGATGGGTTGAAGGGCTTGGAGGGTGTTGTAATGGTGTGTGGGTAGGGTTTTATGTCTTGGGGGCGAGGGCTGAAGGGCAAACAATTGAAGGGTTTGCGGTTTGAGGCAGGGTTTTGGAGTTTCGGGTTTGTGTTTGAAGGGAATACTTTTCTCCGCCGTTTCGAGCATCATGTCGCGTGGCTGAGCCCAGTCGAAGGGTCGAACATTACATAAGATAGACATGATATTATGGATATTCTTGGGTCGGATGTTACTACCGGTTTGGGTTAAGGGCCTGGGGCCTGAGGCGTTAGATTTAAACCCAAAGCCTCGTCGAATACAGCATCCCAGTATTAGCCCGGGTATAAGCACCGAGGAACCCGACCCAAAGCAAAGTTCGGCTGAGGGCTCATTGCTTGCACTTTCCATTGTGGGTAGATGACCCCATCTAGCCCGGAAGCACCAAGCGCCTAAACCTGAAACACCAAACCTAAACCCTAAACTTGAACTCAGGACAGTGAGTGGCCCAGGACTTACCACTAAGCATCCTAAATCCCTGGACAAGATTTTCCAAGGTTTTCTTGAACCCTACCCCGCTTCATATTTAGGGGCTTTAAGAACTACCACTACTATTTTGGGGTTCCTTCTTGTGACTAGAGTATAATACACCCCAACGCCCCATTCTGATTCTAATTTTGAAGGCCCCGACAATAAAGCATTGACAAGGAATTTCCGATCTTGAGCATCCTGTCCCTGATCGAGCATGCCCCACATGGGCAGCCGATCACGCTCGCGCAGCCTGGATTGAAGGGACCCAGGGGCAGTTTAGGGTTTGTTCAGGGGTTGCACTGGTTTAAGATCTTGTGTGGCGCAGAGTACTTTGCATGACGTTCAGCAAGCCAAAGTTGACATCCCGCAAGGCAGACCATGCTGAAGCCTGGAATCGACTTAGCCAAGTTAGTACAATGAGTATGAGTATGTAGATGAGGAAGATGACACTGACTCTTCAACCCTAACTCCCTAGGGGATATTGGACAGCCTCCTGGACGCTGAATCTCCACACCTCAGAGCCGAGGTATGGCTCCCCAAAACCTTGAACCTTCACATGTTCAAACCCTGAAAGTGGCACTGCCGGCACCGTAGCAAGACTGCTAGCTGCTAGTATTGTCAGCAACACTAAGAAAAAGCTGCGGGAAGCACTTTGCAGCATCGCGGGAAGCAACGGCAGTAGTGCTGTTCTTGCATGTCACCGCCCTAGCTCATTCGATTTTACATATTATCAGGGTCTTTGGAACCCATCCCCGTACATCCTGTGCACAAACGACCCACAACGAGTACCCACTACCATGAGTTGGTATCAGTCTCCTACCGAATTATCTTGATATGAGGAGGAGGAGAGCTCAAACTACAAGCACGGCAAAGAATTATAAAAAAGACGCTGGAGCACAAACACCCGCCAATCTCCAAACCCTAAACCCTAACCCCAAACCCTAAACCCCAAACCCTAAACCCTAGCCCCAAAAAACCCTAACCTTCAGAGTCCCGAACCCAGGTTCGGACTCGTGTTCACCGCCACCCTGGTCGCGCTGCGAAAGCTCCACGGCGTACTATAGGGGCCTAAATAAGTACCTATACTATTTTAGGGGCTCCGTACTACAACTATGGTAGAATGGGCCCCAAAACCATACTAATTTCCAAACCTTCTTAATAGAGTGGCCGTAATAGTTAGAATAATATTCTAGCTGTTAAGGCCCCTTTTCTCAGAAAGTTCGGACATTGGGCCAAGTTTGGGCCCCAAGCACCGAACGCTTGGCCCCTCAACCCAAATCACAAAATCCCGCCACAAAAAAAAACGGTTTGAGTTGGTATATTATAATGTAGTATCTTAGGGGGTTCCTTATAACATCTTATAACTATAATGTTGTTATATAGTTATAATAAGGAACCCCGAAGATGGTTTGGGTTGAGGCTTGTAGGGTCGAAGGTTGCAGGTTTGACGCAAGATTTGAATTTAGACTTCCATTGTTCAGTCCGGTGTTTCACGCTTTCATAAGTAAGGGCTTTGCAAAGCCTTACGCAACATGTAGAATTTAGGGCTACCGCAACCCGGAGACTGCAATTCCAAGACCCAGACACAACTCTCGTAATCCCAACCCCCACAAACGGTATTTTAAGCCCTAAACCGTAGACCCCAAACCACACTGCTCAATCTTAAACTCTAGTGTTCACCCTTAACCCTACGGTTAATCCATAAACCCTACTGTATTTGGGCCAAGAAAACCTGTTTTCAAACCCTGAACCCTATTATCAAGCCCTAAATCCCATCATCACAACCCTCAACCCTCCACAATGATATCCTCAGCCCTGGAAATCTCAAACCTTACTGTTCAGCTCTAAACCCAATTATATCCTTAACCCCGGAGATCTTAAAGCCTACTGTTAAACCCTCAACCCTCTTGTAAATAAACCCTGTATAAGCCCTACCCTTTCAACCCTCTACAGTAGCCCAAGAGTTGGAAATCCAATAGCCCCAATTCTTAGGAGTATTGTATAGGGAATCCCAGCACTAATTGTCCTTCGGTTTCCAACTTGTCGGGGTTACTCAACCCTAGCACTGTGACATCGCCACCGGCGAAGACGCTCCACCACGTGCCCCGCCGCCTGCGTGGTGCCCTCCTGTCCAAACTGAAAGCCCTCAGCCGTGGTGGGCGACACGGAGTCCTTCATTAGGATCATAGGCCTCTTTGGATCGCCGCTGCTGTTCACACTTTTCGCTGACGGTGCGGTCGAGACTTTTGTTGCAGAGGCTTTTGCAAGGGCGAATTTGGCGTGCGCAGCTTTCGCCCAAGCATGACCGGACAAAAACCCTAAAACCTTTAACCCTAAAGCCTAAAACCCTCAAGCCC